TATTAAGGAATTCTGATCATGTTAAATGTGTTACCTCAATTGTGGTGCTGGGTCCCCTCATCCTAAGAAGACATGATCCATTTACTGAACTTGAGGTGCCCCCTTGCCCAAGGAATTCATAACAAGACTAGTTCTGTAGTGATTCCTAGTTATCTCCCAGCACCCACCCCACCCCAAGAGAAAAAGCTGCTTGAGACTTTGGGGCTCTTATGGACTGAACTGTAGCTGATATCTGTCCTGTTAAGTCTGAAATCTAAGGAATATGATGCACTTGTGTAAAAGGGATCCAGAACAGATAGTTTTTAGGTGTTTCAAGAATAGAGCGAGAGAATGATTATCATGGAATACCAAAGTGAAGGAGTTAGTATCGTTCAGCAAAATTTTCTCTTTGGTCTCCCAAGTAGCTTCCATTCCCTCACTTTTTCTATTGGAATTATAAATTCAAGCCTTTTGGTAAAGTAGGGTTACTTTTAACTTTTACTATTAAGGTAATTACTTCGAGGTGTTAAAAAAGTTTTCCCTGTTGTCTTTGTGGATGTTGGAAAAGGACATTTCACCATGCCAGGCATTTCTACTGGGGAATATTGGTTTTGGACGTAGGCAAAGAAGGGGGCCCTCTGCCTTTCACAAATCATGTCACTCACGAGATAGCTAAAATGAAAAGCATTTTCTCCCTAGATCAGAGACAGTGGCCAAATTAAAAAAAAAAAAAAATTGTGGGGCTGGATATTTCCTGAGTCAAACCAGTCTCCTGGTGCTTGAAGGTTTCATTCACTATTACCTGCACAGGATGTAAAGAAAAGTCACAGTAGGCACTCTACCAGGGAAATAAGGCAGTATTTGAATCACAAGATATATTTTTTATCTGCAACCATGGATTCAGTGATATGTAGAGATTTTTCACTCATTAGCTGTCAAGGTATGAAGGACTGACAGCCTGTAAAGATAAAGATATTTATATTTTTGTATAGTTTTCATAGATTTCTCAAAGGCTGAAGTTTTCAACCTAGAAGATGAGATTTGTATTGAGTATAGAAATGTTTCCTATCTAGTTTGTAAATAATCATGGTGCACTTGAGGGGTCTCTTGGAAACTCCTAGGGGCAAGAATCACTATTCTGAAAATGTATAGACTGGGAATTAGCTGCTGCATTTTGCCTTTCTTAAATAATTATATTTTGGAATGTAACCCCTGTTCTGTCTTCATTGACAGGATTTGCTTGTGTTGTAAAACACTAACACAAGAGCTTCCAGTGCCTGGGCTGTGCCTAGGTGATTCTGTTTGTTCTACATCCCTTGTCTCTGTATCCCAAATCCCACTCAGCATATCTTCAGAACTGGGTTGTGAGACCAACTGAGGAGTGTATCTAGCCAGTGAATTGTTACTTCCATATTTGATTCCCTTTCTATTAACTCTGGTAATTAACAGATTGAAAAGGGTGGGGAAACTTCTGCAAATTGAAGTGAGAGCACATTCTTTGTTGGTTTTATGCTGCTTACCTTTCTAGGCTTGCTCATCAATACTTAGTAACCTTTCCTCCATTGAGGGTTGCTATAGAAACATGAAGTAGGTAAAGAGTGCTCCTCAGCTTCTCATTGTCCCTTTCATTCTTTACCCAGCAGATTTCATTCAATGCCTTAGCCAAGGAATCCAGCACCTGTCTTCCCTGCTAATAATTGTCCTTGGAGATGCTAGTACTTTAACCCAGGTAATGGCAGTTTCCCACTGTTTCCTTGCTTGTCTCTTCCCGTTTCCTCCTGACTTCCCAAGGCTCTTAAGGCTTTTGAAGGTCAAAGAGCAGGCAAGTGAGTAATCCTCAGGAAAAGGACCATTTTAGCTTCTGAGCTTCTGAACATTTTAGCTTCTGAGCTTTCCTTTTTATAAGAAGAAGAAAATAAGCAAACCAGTCATAATTATCGATTGGAGGCTATTTTACTGTTTATAAGAGATGTACAAAGGTGGAAATGAGGGGTGATTCTGGATGTTCAGGGAAGGCTGCAGATGTCATTGCAAACTCCCAACATACAGTGTTCTTAAGACCTCTTAGAACTAGGAATTGCCAGGGCTAATTTGAGAAGGGCTTAGTCTTTAGAACAGGCTGTGTAGTCTTTGACAAAAATCTGAAGTCTCCAAAAACCCCTCCCCTTTAATGTTGACCCAGGAGAAACTGATTATGAAAATTACATATGTGATTTTGAGATGTAGAGTGAGAGGAGTTGAGGAACCTGAAAGACAGTGCGCTCTCACCCTCTTTTAAGAAGCATGATCTCACTACACCAATAATTCGCCTTTTTATATACATCTGTAAATAAATGGAATGTTTTTAAGAATATAATTATGCCAGATTTAGCATTTCCTTTTATATATTAAATATATATATATATCTTTCCTTTTCTGCTTTTGAAAAGTGACTATTTTTTTAGAAACCGAAGAACAGAAGAAGTTTGGTGATTGAAAGGCAGAATATAAACTTGAAGTAAATCAGTTATACTACTTAAAGCAGGACTTGGTGTTGGGAGGTCTGTGCCGAGTTGGAAATAAAGAATTCTAATGCCCTGAGGTATATTTGAGAGAGGTGCCACTGAAGTAGTTTTATTATAGGAATTCCTTCCTGTTCTCAGAAGTTTCTGACATGCCATTTGGGGGGAGGTTTTCGGTGTTCTAATCCTTAAAGCTTGTTTTATGTGAAGGCTCTGAAATTTTGTACAACTTGATGGCAAGTATGTTTCAGAAGTCATCCTCCAGTCTGTTACCTTGGAGAATAATGAGATGTGAACACAATCTTAGTGGCTAGACAAGTAAGTGTTCTTAAGTCAGGATAGGGGAGGGGACTTTAACAAGTTTGTGGAAAATGAGATCAAGAGGTTTATTTTGTTGGAGAAAAGTTTGAGATGGGTACATAGTTTCTTCATAATCCTCATTTACCATGAACTTTTTTGAAGACCCTCTTACATGTTAATTATTTTCATAATTTACGAAGAGATTTTATTAAATTTAGACATTGAACTACTCTTAATCTATTTAAGGTCACTAATAGATCAAGCTCCGTTATGTAAGCTTCTTACAAATTTGTTCACTTTGTGTAATTTTATAGTTCATGAAGTTGAAGTTCATGAAGTTTTTCTCCAGAATTATGGAAATGTTTTGAACACAGAAGAAAATGAAACAATCCATATATTATTTTGGGCAGGGTTTAGCAATATAAATTTTTTTTTTTTACTGGCTAAAATTTTTGAAATGGGATGGGATGAAGCAAAATGAGAATCAAATGTAATTTGAAGACTGATCTAGAAAATAGTGATAGTTCATGTTCCTCACTCCTAGAAATTTCATAAACAAAACCCAAAAAACATGCAGTGTAGGCAGCACATTTTCAGGTACTTTAATAGAGATAACCAAGAATCAGAATATGTTTCTTGCACAGAATCATTCGTTTTGAACAAAGTGCTGTAAAGGCATCAGTACTTTGATGTCATTGTATTCTTGATACTGAAATTTCACAAGTGGCTGAGTGCCCAGAAAACTAAAGCTAAAGAATTCAAACTCACTGCCAGTTCAAGAAAGTTATAAGTTAAAATGCATTTTTGCATAATGGAAATAACTGATACGTACTTTTAGACTGAGGTATACCTGTAGTACATTAAATTTGAACTGCTCCACAAAGGCATCTAAGTGTTGAGTACTAGTAGTAGAGGTGTGTTAGAGGGTGGGGAGGCACCCCATGGGAACTGGAAATTTTGGGGACAAATCTAGGCTATTAAATTGTGTTACTGTAAACTCTGCTGGTAGAACAGATTCTGTTAAATAGGAAAGCAGCCTTGGGAGCATTGTTTTCGACCCATCCTGTTTGCAATTGCATTCACTGGTCTCAGCTGTCTCACAGTGCCTTGCATGGAAAGGTGCTCAATAAATATTTGAATTGATGAGTAAATGTTTACTCTAGCCTGTTAGTGTCCCAGAATCCTACAGTTGCACCTTATTTGCATGTTAAGCCTAGGGTGAATGAAAGAATTTGATTTAGCGTAATGCTAAACAACTGTATACCATCTATTTCTTCCCTCTCATACATCTAAAATTTGACAATCTGACACCATGTATAAATGTTTAGGACATACACAAAGCAGAATAAAAGTGAAGTAGCATATGGATGATGAAAATACTTATGTAAAGTTCAACTGCATTTGGAAGGTAGGATGGCAAGTATTTAATTTTAGTGTAGAAAAAAGTTAACATTTACATTCACACTGGACCTAGGACTTTGATTCTGTGATGAATGAATTCATGAAGCCTGGAAACAGTGCACAACCTTTTCTAATACTGGCACCTCAAAGGCAGCATGATACCCAGACTAAAAAAGTTGTAATGGATTGTGAAGAATTAAGAATGTGTAGTTTTGGTCTTAGACTACAAGTACCCAGATTCCAGACATAAAACCAATTATTACAGTGTTCTCAGCTATTGTCATCTACGGTATCATAGACAAGGAAAGGAGGAGCTGGGATTTGCCTGTGCTGGGGGAACATTTCTCTAAAGGGCTAAGCCAGAGTAGCTTGGGACAGGAAATGACCAATGACACTTTGTAAACACATTTACCTTGAGTGGTTACCTAAGTCAGAAAAATACTAAGTGAGAAAACTGTTGATGCACACAAAAATGATCTGGAATCGATTAGGGACAACTCATGTGAGCACATTTTGCTTTATGGGTGAAGTTGGCAGTTACTAGGGTCTGCCACATGCAAGCCACCAGGTGGCACCATTTATCAGCAGTGTTACATTCTCCCAAGGAGAGGTCAAATCAATCACCTAGTGAATAGTGTGCTTATAAAGGCTCTTGCCTCCTGTCCAAGTTTGAGAAATAAATTTGGAAATCTTATTTGATGTTCCATTATATCTGCAGCTCATCGTGGCTTAAGGGGAAAGGAGGGCTTGTCTCTCCGGTAGCTATTGCCTGTTGGTGTAGGGCCCCTTGATAACAGCGTTGATCTCTGTGCCAACCTGTAAGCTTTTACAAATCTCATTTTATCGTGTGGCTGCAGTACACAACAAGCACATCCCTGGTTAGTCACTTGGCTGTACAAGGTCCATCTACCACAATGCCAGCTTACAAATATGTCATCTTCCTCTGGGATTCCAACGGTTTGGGTTAGGCAAGAGATGTGATGTTCTATTCTGCAGCCCGAATCTTCCAGTTTAATCTTTCTTAATAACCAGGTGGACTCCTGGGGTTTCTAGAAAAATAAGTATCAGTAGGTAAAGATGTTGCCCCTTCCAGCAGTTCAAAAAAGTATACCACTAAATCTAGTGCCAGCAGGCCCAGGGCAAAGAACTCACAAGTAAATTTTGGCGTAAGCGATGAAAACGTCTGGAGCAACAAATCCTGATTAACTGGAGGGACGTTGGATGCTGAAGAAACCATGGAACAAATAACACCGCGTAGGCGCGTTCACTTCCCTCACTGCCCACTCCCCGGCCCTTTCCTTCTGTTGGACCGATCAGATAGCCTAGCATTTAACCTGGGCTGCTACTAAGAACCCTTCCCACCTGGGCCGTCTGCTCGCCGCTTTAAGTGGATGGGAGCAGAGCTTTTTGGCTCACCTCAGTTTTTCGTAAATCAGCCAGAACTATGGTTTCGTGGGCCTATCAAGTGCCGACCTTGCATTTGAGGGCGTGGTTACCGCCGTGGGACGCGGAAGTGCGGTTCTCTGGGACCGCAGTCCTGATAATACCATAAAAGGCTTGATTCTCCTAGTTCTGGAGCCATGTTCTGTGGATCTTCCTATAAGAACGCTACTCATAACTGTATTGTGTGGATTCCGTGGTTCTCCAGTTCGAAGTCCTCTGCTTCCCCGCAGCCGTTCATTGGCTCCGCCCCCTGAGCCCTGCCCGTCCGCTGTGGGAACGCCCTCCTGGCTGTAGGCCTCACCCCCTCGCTCGGCTCCGCCCACCCAGCTCCTAGTTTGGCCCTGGCGGTGGTTCGCGTTTTGAGCCGCTCGTGCCACCATAGCTGCTGCTGCCGCTACCGCGGCGGAGCTGAAATCGCCGAACGCGATGCCTGAGGGCGCCGTGAGCGGGGCGGCCCTCGCGCCCAGGGGCTGGTGAGGCTGGGCCCGAGCGGGGGCGCTGACGAGTAGCAGGGGTTTCTGAGGCGGGTGAAAGAAAAGTCCAGGGCCCGCGTGGAAGGCGGAGAGCGAGCTCCCGAGGGTCGGAGGTGGGGGAGGGAGGCTCCTGGGGCAACACCGGTGGTTGGGCCACTACGAGCCGCCCCGAGACCCCGCGGCCGCCAGCCCAGGTGCTCGGGCCCCTAGCGGAACTCTCCTGTGGTCCTGGCGGCTTCCTGGCTTAGAGCCGCAGTTGCCATGGGAACATTTGGGCATTAACGGGGAGCCGACCGGCCGCTCTGCAGTTAAACGCCCCTGGCGGGCGTGGGCCTGACATTTCTTTGGGGCTCAGGATTCCCCCGCCCCTTTTTTCATGGATTTTCCCTGCCGACGTAGTGAGAAACAGCGTGAAAGTAGGGATGAAGGGAAAGGAGAGCTAGAGGTCCCAGCCGCTGAGCCAGGCAGAAGGTGAGATACCTACTGTGATGCTGAGGCAGCGGCTGTCATCTCAGGCCAGTGAGAGGGCATGCTGGAAGGTCCTGTGGAGTGAGAAGGCGGTGCCACTGTTGAGACAAGTCCCAAAGGGGCCCTCACCATGATGGCTGTGGAAGGAACAACCATTACCAGCCGGATCAAGAACCTACTGCGATCCCCATCCATCAAACTACGCAGGAGTAAGGCAGGAAACCGGCGAGAGGACCTCAGCTCCAAGGTGAGTCCTAGTATTAGGAGCAACCTCCTTCCAGCCCTACGCCCTCCTCCGTGTTCCTCTTCCTTGGGCAGGGAGAACTAGAAGCCCCTGTTGGCTCTAAAAGATCTAATATGCTCCTCTCTGCCCCTCACGCAGGCCAGGATTTGGCTTTAGGTAGAAGGAAAAAGCATCAGGGGTGGGCGGGCATCCTGAGATTCATCCGTGAAATGGTGAATAGGAGGAAGGTGACCTGGGTTCAAACGTGACCTCACTCCAAGCGAGGCGCGTGCTTGGGGAAGCCAGTTGATGTGCTGTGACTCAGTTTCCCTTCTTGGAAGAGGATAGTGGGGCCACGTGTCCTGTGAAAAACTAAGTTGTGACTAATGCAGTTAGAGATGTTACTGTTAAAGCTTGTGTCATATCAGATTGTAGTAGCAGAAAGAAATTGAAGCACGTTATCTGAGGAATTGATAATTGCCCTGCTTGGGATTCAAACAGATTTGTCTGAGAGGCCTCGATTGATTTAACTGGAGCTTCTTGGCTTCTTAGAATGATAACATGCAAAAAGCTAGATATGTGATTTGCCCTTGAATGGCGCCTGTACGATTCACAGTAAGCTGAGAGCCACATCCCTCCTGGCTGCAGAAATTCCTTGGAGGCAAACTCCCCCTCCTTTCCTTCACTTGTCTAGGTTTGGGTTCTTATGCTTTGTTCAACTTTGTGGAGCCCCACAACTTTGGGCATACAAAAATAGACTAAATTTATTTAATCCCTTGAGGGAATCTAGGGCTTTGTTGGCACAGGATCAGATTAGATTTTGTGTCCTGTAAGTGACCTGTACACACAGTAGCTGTGCTTGGTACAGCATTGCTGTGGGGAAGAGTCCTTTGAGACAGCAGCATTTTATTACCTTGCCTGTATCTCTTCAGAGAGGAGTAAACCCAGTGTGGAATGATTTAGAGTGTTAACGTATAACATGGCAGGGTTCTGGGAGGACTTAGTTCAGATCCCTGTTCCTTAAGGGAATCTTAACTGGATTTGGTAAGAGGGTGAATAGGTTTCCTGTGAATCAAAATTTGCCACAAGGTGCTGTCATAGTGGAGATGGTGACCCTTGCAGGGACTCTTGTTAATCACTCGTTGTTCTTACCTCCAGGGGCAGGAGAGTGAGCCTGACACTTAGATAAGACTCATTCTTCATCCTGAGCGTGCTCTTACGAGGACGCTTCACAAAGTCCGTGGAAAATGAGTATTATGAGCAAACTCTGCATGGATTTTTCAGGGTTGTTTGTGTGTGCCCACATAAACTTGTCTTTTAATTGCATTTTCCATGAATGTTTCAAAGTATCCTCATGTTTTTAATGGGTGAGTTGGCAGTGACCAGCTCTATTAGAGCAGTCTCATCTTTGGCCTCTTTTTTCTGAGCAGGAACGATATATGTAGTAGGAACATGTAATGGAAGTGTAGTCTAAACTATTGATACTTACTGTAATTTTGGTATGGGACCTAGAAGATAGTCACCATTCTTTAAGACTTCCCATGTCATTCATCACTAATGCACTCAACAGATGTTTATTGAATGCCTATTAGGTGTGAAATCAGTGATGAATAAAACAGTTTCCTTGCCATCAAGGAGCTTGTGGCTAGTCAGACATGTAAAAAAAAATTACAACATGGTGTGGTCGTTGCTGTTCCACAGATTTTTTTTTAAGATTTTATTTATTTATTTGAGAGGTAGAGACAGTGAGAGGGAGAAACAGAAAGATCTTCCTTCCATTGGTTCACTCCTCAAATGGCTGCAACGGCCAGAGCTGCGCCGATCCAAAGCCAGGAGCCAGGAGCTTTCTCCAGGTCTCCCACATGGGTGCAGGGGCCCAAGGATTTGGGCCGTCTTCCACTGCTTTCCCAGGCCACAGCAAAGAGCTGGATCCGAAGTGGAGCAGCCAGAACTTGAACCCGTACCCATATGGGATGCCAGCACTGCAGGCCGGGGTTTTAACCCAACCTGCTGTGCCACTCACTGGCTCCTCTACAGATTGTTAGTGGAAGCACAGGGGAGGGGCTCTAAGTCAGTTTAGGGGAATTAGGGAAGACTTCACAGAGGAAGGGGTGCTTGAACCAAATCCTGAGGCAAAAGGAGAACTCCCTGGGAAGAAGGTGAAAAAAAAAAAAAAAAAGAAAGAAAGAAAGGGTGTCTCTGGCATCCCCGCTAAACAGGGAGTTTGGTGTTTCAGACTGCTTCAAATGGCTTTATCTGTCCTAAAGCTGTGTATGAAGGAGATATTTGGCTGAAGCTGAGTGACCCTTAAATGCTCGATAGAGCAAGAGCGCTGATGCAGATCTTTAGCACCCTTCAAGAACAGTAGCTGTCTGTGTGTACCCAGGACCCTGGAAATGCTGGCTCCCCAGTGCCCATTGGTTAGGGCTGTCTGTCTATCATTATTCTGAAAGCCTGCCTGGTGGGAACAGCACACAGGCCTGGTGTCATGGCTGTGGGCAATCATGCTAACAGTCAGAAAGCTTGTGATTTATAGATAGCTAATTCTGAAATAAAATTTGAAGACAAAAAGATGTGTGCCTCTTTTGGAGAGCAAAGAAGGAAGTGTCAGGAGGCCTTTATGCAGCTCTTGCCTCACATGGCCTACTGTTTTGAATCATATCATTCTAGCCATCTAAAGTAGTCTTCCTCCTCCTTTTGGTAAAATCCTCCATTTTTAGATCCGACTCCATACTTTGCAGAGCCACAGGGCCTTCCCTGACTGTCCCCATGACCTTGAAATCAGTCTCTGTTCTTATGTATGTCTTCATTTCTCATGTAGCTCAGGGACTTGTTTTTATTTCCTCTACATCACGGTATTTAGGACAGTGTAAGAAGGTAGGCAATGAGTACTAAAGGAATAAGTGGAATGAGAACAGTTTCTTTAGTCAAATATAGTGCGGATAAACTTGGAAGTTCAGAAGAATTAGAAATGCTTAGGAAGAGTTTGTGATCTGTTTAGAAGAGAAATCAAAACTAGGAATAATCAAATGGTGAAAAAGGAGTGATGATGTTGACTGTTTAGGTGTGAAGTGCCAGAGAGAGGGGGGAGGTACACAGATGCAGAGTGGAGCTCATTAAATTCTTTTTAATAGAGACATCGTTAAAAATATGGTTGAAGTAGGGTTTCAAACTGAAATGAGAGAGCCAGCAGAGGTGGGGATTTATTAGCACATAGACGAGACCTAGGAGTTTCATTAAGCTTTTTCGAAGCGAGGGGAGTGTCTGTATTGGAGTAAATTGGAAAGAGTGACGTTTTTTGCCATATCTGTTGAGTCTTGATGAAATTTAATTCTGAGTTATCAGTGGTACACAACCTTCAGGATCAAATGCTGTACATTTGTCAATTCCTGCCTCTCATTGCAGTAGAAGATGTGTTTTCCTTTTTTTTTTTTTTAAGATTTATTTATTTATATGAAAGTCAGAGTTAAACAGAGAGAGGAGAGGCAGAGAGAGAGAGAAAGAGGTCCTCCATCCGCTGGTTCATTCCCCAGTTGACCGCAACAGCTGGAACTGTGCTGATCTGAAGCCAGGAGCCAGGAGCTTCTTCTGGGTTTCCCACATGGGTGCAGGGGCCCAAGGACTTGGGCCATCTTCTGCTGCTTTCCCAGGCCATAGCAGAGAGCTGGATCGGAAGTGGAGCAACTGTGACTCAAACCAGCACCCATATGGGATGCTGGCACTGCAAAGTGGCAGCTTTACGCGCTACACCACAGTGCTGGCTTTGAAGCTGTGTTTTCTTTAAGAAGCAAATGTATATATTCTTTTTTGCCCATTTTCCCTGTATTTTTTAATGCTAACAATGACTGTGTAATTTTCTTTCTTTTTTTTTTTAAAGATTTACTTACTTATTTATTTGAGAGGTAGAGTTAAAGACAGAGAGGGAGAGACAGAGAGAAAAGTCTTCCATCTGCTGGTTCACTCTCCACT